CTTGGTTCCTCCCCACAGGCCCTCTCTGCAGGCTGTTTGAGTGTTCTCACAGCATGGTTCTTAGTTCCCCTATAGCGAGTGACACCAAAAAGGAAGAGCCATGTGGAAGCCACCCTTTTATGACCTGGCCTCAGAAGTGGTATAGCATCACTTTGTGCCACTTTCTATTCATTAGAAGTGAGTCATTAAGTTTGGTTCACATTGGAGGGCTGGAGAATTCAGAACCATCTTTGAAAGGAAAAATTCACTGTGAACAAACTCACTGACTCATTTTAAGACCATCTCACATTCTAAAAATCTTTCAGTGCCATTTTACAATATTCATACCGCTTTCTTTCTATTCGTATTTGTCAGCTCCGCAAAACTGCTCAGGGTTTCATAAGCTTACGGTGATTTCTCTGTGTGTATGCTCTGTACTTCCCTTTTTTTTTTTTTTTTTTCTGGAATATCCTTTTCACTTCTTTACCTTACTAACTCCTACTTATCTTTCCAAACCCTACTCAGACGTAAATATTATCAGAGTCTCTTTCCCCAATTCTGCACCCCCACTACTTGCCTTCTACCAGTTAAACCTTTGTTTGGTTTAACTATTTCTCCAGATCTATAAGGTTGGACTAGTATCTTCTATCTCTGTAACCTCATTGCTTAGCACAGTTCCTGCTGTATTTTAAGATGTTAAGAGTTTATAAAACAAAGGTGTGAATCCATTAATATTAGTGCTTGGCCTCCACAAAAGCTCAAAAAATAGACAAAGTGAAGTGCTAAGGACATTAAGCAAGTCAGTTGCAGTAGGTTGGGGGAAGGATTTGAGAAATAATACAGTGGCTGGATCCAAGAAAGGGAGAAGGAAGAAAAAGTCTGGATGATTTGGGAGTGTCCAATTCAGCCGTTGGGCTAATTAGAAGAAAAGGAGAGTCGATTACAGAGGAGAGAAGATAATGAGTTTAGTTCTGAAGATGCAAGGTTTAGAATGCCTATGATTATTCTACAGACTTGTCTCGGAGGCCTTATGAAAAAGGTGTGAAAGTCAGGGGAAAGATTACATCAGAGATAAATGTGAGAGACGCTATCTATACCTCAGGTTATTTTCATCACTCTGGATATAGAAAGGATCATAAAAAATGGGGAAAATAATGTCAAGGAGAAAGAGAGGCAGAATAAATTATCTTCCCTAAGGTTACAAGGGTAGAGAAAAAGCTGACATGGTTGACTACTGCCCATCCTTCCTGGGGTTGCTTATGCCAGAAACTCCAGGCAACTTTCGGCTCAGGCATTGTTCGTGAACTACTGTGGTGAAGTATTGGCCGCCTCCTACTCCAGTGTGCTGTGGATCAGAGACTTTTACAATTTTCAGTGGCTATATCTAATGTACTGAAGCCCAATTCAATACCATTCATAATTAGAAAGCACCACTTAGAATAGTTGCTGACAAACCAATCAGTATGTTGGCTTGCCTAGTACTCTAAATGCATCTTAAGTTATTTATTATTAACCTAAAAATAAAAATGTCACCTTTTTGAACATGAAAAATATATTTTCCAGAAGTGATTGAAGTTACCTTGTCTATAAGCAATACCCTCTTTAATTAACATAAATATAGGCAAGAGAGAGGAATGGGACCTTCAACTTACACATTTTTGCAAATTAGTCTAATTCTACCATCTTCCCACAAACAAATTGAGTAATTTTTCAAACCAATTTTAGGGAGAAAAATCTGTTTTCAGGGCAATTCATTTTTTTTTTTCAGTCAATATTTTTTACAAACCTTGTTTGGTTTTTAAACTTGGAACACATGTTAGAGAGTTTTCAGATTCCATGTCTCTTTGGAGAGCCTCTCTCTCTGCAGAAATTCTGAGAAAGATCAGGCTTCGAGTTGTCTCAGCAACTGTAAAAGAAGTTAGCCAGGTTGGCCAGAATGAGACACATAAATCACCCTTGATCATTTTATTAGCTGTTTCTCTCTTTACAAAGCTAAGACAAAATAGCTTTCTTTTCACAGCCAAAACACAGACAATGTTCTCCCTCTTGATGCTAATGGAAGGGTAAGTCTTATTCTACAGCTGTCATAAAAAAAGACAAAAAAAAACCCTTGATTTGGCTTTGTGGATGGCATATTCTTGCACCAGGAAAATGGGAGTGGTATGAAAGAGAGCATGAAGTGATGGCTTTATTTATATATGTGAATAATTAAGTATTGAGATACATTTTCAAGTGGACATCTTGTTCCATTTTTCTTTCATCTTTTAGTGTCAACTGGATATTCCCTTCTAAAAAATTAGGTAAAATCCTTTATGCAATCACACACACAAAAAAAAAAATAAAAAAAATAAAAAGCTGGGACAAGAGGTTATAATAGATTGTGTTATTTTCAATGTGTGCTTCTTGTTTCTCAGCTGCCAACAGGGATGGCCTGGAAGCAGATGGCAGCCAAGAGAAGTTTGTCATCTCCATCTTCACGGTGAACATCTCAGTTGCACGGGAGCTTTAGGCAAACTGGAGTGTTTACGTCTAGGTCTCTGTCTGACCTCCTCATTCTGTGTCTCATTGAAGAAGCAGCACTGCAGTGCATAGTCTAGTGAGTTATGTGTGCTCATAAAAACATACTGCAATTCACAAAGCTATCAACTCTTAGTCGTGAAACAAAAACACCTGTCAAAAGAGTTTTATTTTAACTTGTTAATGACACCACAAATAGACAGGCAGAGGACAATGCCATCATTTCAGGGGACAGTTTTACACAGCAGGCCTCTTCCAGGGCATTCGGGATACTGCAGTCTGCCTCTGGTCACTAATTAGAGAAGCTCTAACATGGAGCCCATAAATCAGTTGTCATCAGAGAACTGTCCTCCTCTGTATGCAAGGAAGCTTTGCATCTATTAGCACGTAGCCCAAACCCTCTGGCCATTACTGCTGCCCAAGAGTTTGGACTTTATATTTTCCTCATATTTCTGAGATGAGGAAGTGACTTATTAGGTACCATTTTGCCTATTACACTCATAGACACAACCTCCCATGCTTAAGGCACAGGGATAAGTTTGGAGAACGACTCAGGAAAGAACATGATCCACTGTTGCACCAAATCCCTGAGCTCCTTTGGAGAAGTACAGAGCCAGATTTGGGATTTCCAGGCAAATTCCATCTCCTTTAGCGGACCTCACTCAACCTAACAACCCAACAGAGTCCACTGGGCTCAGTATTGGGCCTTCTCTGCTGGGTGGAGACATTCAGCCCTGCTAACAGCTTCTCCTTTTAGGGGCCATCTCTTCGAAGGAATGTCGACAATGGAGATGGCATTAGGCACTGTTTTGGGCTGAATTATGTCCTTCCCCCAAATTCATATGTTGAAGCCTTGATTCCTAATACCTCAGAATGTGACTCCATTTGGAGGTAGAAGTTTTAAAAGATGTGATTAAGTTAAAATGAAGCTATTAGAGTGAGTCCTATTCTGATATGACTGGTGTTCTTAATAAGAAGATATTAAGACACAGACACACACAGAGGGAAGACCATGGTAAGACACAGAAAGACTAGTAGAACCATCTAGTAGCTAGTTCTCCATGACGTTTCCTTCAGAATAGCTGGCCTTCAGGAACATAAACCTGCAGTTTTATCAGGTAAAGCAAATGATTAGAGGGCTTGGGGCTGAAAAATTACAACCTGTTTTTAAACTTTAACTGGGTAAGAAGTCAGGCTTGCTGTTATAGAGCTGGATGTGGACTATGAGTGCCTAGCGGCCACTTTGGTCAGCAGAGCTGCACTGCAGGATGAACTACATGCTGGGTTAAGGCATCCAGTGTCATACACAAGCTAAAACAACCATCTGCAAGTCAAGGAGAGAGGCCTCAGAAGAAGACAACCCTACAAGACCTTAATCTCCAACATCCAGCTCCAGAATTGTGAGAAAATAAAATTATGTTGTTTAAGCCACCCAGTCTATAGTACTTTGTTATGACAGCCCTAACAAATTAATACAAGTACTCTCTAAAATCTCTCATAAAACTATATTTTTAAAAACTGATTGCGACCACTTGAAGATCTGTGAACTTCTCCAGAGGAGCAGAAAGAGACAAGAAACCTGTTTCTGTGCCCTTTGGCCACACACAAAACAGGTTTAACCATATTAATTGAATTGGCTACACAATATTAATTGAATTGGCTACACAAAATATCCGTGACCATTTAGTGCGAGAGATGCATAGATTTGTTTACATTTACATAAAATAGTCAAATTAACTTTTTTTTAAAAAATAAAATCACTATTGTAAAAATTGGGGGAAAATATTATTTAACAAAGATTTCGTTTTGAGTTAAAATGGTCAAAATTATTCCTTTGGATTAATATCACCAGGCTTTTTGCAATAAAGAATGAGTTATGTCTTTATGAAGAGTTTTGTTAACTTTTTCAACACTAAGTTATCGCATTACTACTTGACTTCACACTTCTTTCATTCTTGCCCTAGATATTTGCTGCTTGTTTACTTTCTGCCAGGCACTGAGCATGAAGGTGAATGAGAGCTTCTCTGCCCTCTAAGTGCCCAGGGTCTTATGGGGGAAGGAACGTAATCAACCACTTAGAGCAGCAGGATCCTTGTGCTAGGTTCTCTGAGCCACAGAGCAGGGACAGATTGAGAAGTTCACCTGAAGAAGTCAGGGAATACTTCACTGAGGCAGAGATGGGTAGAATCTCTCTCACTTGTGACCCAGTGAAGATTATTATTAAACTTTCCACCTCTGCTGCCTCTTCTATAAAAGGGGGAATAAAAATGCATTCCTCATAAAGTCTTTATGAAAAGGTAGTATAGTCAAAATATCTAGCACTTCATTTATACTCAATAGATTTTCTTCTTTCACTGTAGTTTTTCTTTCCCCTCCTCTACTTTCTCCTTCTTCCGCTTCTTCCTTTTCTTCTCTCTTCCTCCTCCTTTTTCCTCTCCTCCTCTCCTTCCTACTGCTCCTGCTTCTTTGCATGATCTTACAGTCTTCCTTCTTTATCTTCTCTAGGCACCATTCCAGCAGACAGCAACCTGAGTACCTGCCAAGGCACCGGTGAATCAGAGCTGTTCAGGTGCGTGCCAAAACTGAAGTCATGCCTTCTGTTGACTAGTCCTAGTTGTACCTATCTAAAAAATAATAAATTTCAAAAGTAGAAGGAGCAGGAGATTCTGAGCACCAAGAGACCCAGGCACCAGGCACAAGGCTATTGTTCACATCCATTTAATTTTTACTTCAAACACTATTAAACAACCTTATGCCTGCCATGTACATATTACCGCGTTGGTTTCAGCCCTCTGCTGGTAAGATTTTTCTCTTTGTTTCAAATTTCCAAGGAGAAATACACTCCCAAATTTTTAGGATGCATACACAAAAGGTCTGACATGAAACATTTGTTTCCAGATGGTGTTGGATATTCGGACCCACTTTATAACCTTTTTGCCATATAAATGATTAGACAGGGTGAAGTCCAATGAGCATTTCATTACCTTCTTTAGGTCTGGAACAATAAGTAGATCCTTCTGAATTTTTAAAAAAAATATTAACATTAAATAGAAACAGCAAGACAGTACAATTTTGTGCAGTGATTTCTCCAGAAACTTTGCAAGCATGATAAGGGAGTTGTTACAATGTCAATCTTAAATTGAGATTTAGGCAATATGAGTAAATACTGAGTTTATTCGAGCACAGAGTTTGATGATGGCCACCCAGGAGGACACAGATTACAAAAAGATGGGATCAGTGATCCAAAGTAGAGAGGTTTGAAGATTGTTTATACAGACAGGTTTGGGGAAGCTTGAAAGGATTTCAAAATTTTTCCATACAAGTTTAGTGCATAGTTATAGCAATTTGATTGGTTCTAGACAGTGTTTCTTTCTAGGAAGGGTATATTTAACATTCCACGTTAAGGATGTAATAGTCAAGGGGTCTTTTATCTCAGGCACCATCTGGTGTGATCTGGGAACAAGAAAATAAGAAAGGAAGTTAATCTATGAAACAGGTCAGTAATTAAGAGGTCATGCTCCATGACTCAGTCTCCAAAGTCAACCTTCCTCAGGGCCTAACAGCTTTTAGAAGCCTCAAATAGACAGACTATTCATTTTCTTTCACATTTCCCCATTTTCTTCAAGATCTTTTGAAGAAAGCATTGAAGAAGAGAGAGTAGTTAAATCCTGCATTTACTAGGAAGGCTCATTTCCAGAGAGTCATGTACCACAGAAGGGGGGAATGTTTAAATTATAAGATGAAAATGAGCCAAATGAATTATAAGGCAACAGGAGGAAAGTAACTTATGGGGCCAGTTCAGGTCACATGACTGTATTTTCAATTAAGGCAATTTTCTGAGCTATCATAATTCTAGTTTTAGTTGTTGATTATAGGCAAGCTGAAATACAAATCACGAGTAATTTGACAACTAGGAAAATGACAACTATTTTTATGATTATGATTATGATAAGTTAAAGACCAGAAGGAAATAGAGAACCTAGCCCTGTGGTTACCAACTAAACAAATCATTTCCAGGATCATTTTTTTACATCTTGTAACCATTTGGACTTTTGAGTTATTTTTCCTAATCAGGTCTCCACTTCTCCAGAGTTGTTAATATAAGTACAATAATGATGTGTGCCACTGCACAGACTCCTTTTGCAGCCCATTTATAGCCCAAGGGAATTCAGTTATCTATTACCACCTGGGCTACAGAGGTCAAAGATTTTGTTGAGCTGCAATGCTTTTTGCAGTGTCTTTAGCCACTTGACCAATAGTGGCTGATAGGTTTTGAATCATATCTTTATTAGTATAAACTCCAGCACTCAGGATTAGTCTTCCCAAAATACTTTGACCTGAGTTATCATCATACCCTACTAACATAGTTCTCTTAGTTCTGTAATGGAGAGAGAAAGTGGTCCTTCTCTATTTTTATGCAAGGATAAGGGAGTTACAAAAATGACCTAACAAGCATAAGTCCTGTATTTGCCAACTATTGAGGCAATGACATGCCCAACTTGTGTAGGCAAACCAGTCGCAATGCCACATCCAAACACATAACCTGGGGCAGCACAAACAACCCCTCCCATGGCACGTTCATTAATGGCCTTATTAGCAAGAAGAGTAGAGAGCATCGAGTCAAACCAGAGATTTCCCTTTTGATATATTTGGCAGAACCTGCTCATATGATATGAAATGAAAAGGAGACATTGGCAGAGTAGAGATTTGTTGTTTTCAGCAACACATTTCTTAATTCAATATGAAATGGAATGAGGAGGGCCAGAGCCAAATTCCTTCCAAGTAGATTTGATAGCTGATAATTTTAGACAAGATATAGAGCATTAGATTCATGAATTATTTGGACTTTGAAAGTTAGCCTATAGGGAGTGCAGTCTAAATATGTAATGGCAAATTTAGGGACATCTGAAAAATTAGTGACAGGTATTACTAATGGCATATATTGGTCCTGAATACATCTAGAAATTATATGGCAAATCCAACAATCAGTTATGTTTCCTCCAGTAAAATCACTTTGGGATAGTTCAGTCAAAGTGTTATCATGCTATATCATGCATCGAGACAGAGACAATCATAAGGAAAAAAATTAAATCCATTTTGTTCTAACTGAACTACCTGCTAAAATCCTAAAACAATAATTTTCTTAACAGGACAAAGGAAGAAATTTCCTGTGCCACTTAAATAATAATGATTAACAAGATTCTTGAAGCAATTATGATAATGGCCACTAGTACCGTGTTTCACCGAAAATAAGACAAGGTCTTATATTTATTTTTCCTCAAGAAGACACCCTAGGGCTTATTTTCAGGGGATGTGTTATTTTCCCCTCAAAGCCTCAGCTTGCAGCATGCACAGGATGGCCAGGACCTGACAGGGGAGCCGACCTTGTTGGTGGGGCTGCCCGCACCTTTCCTGTCACCTCTGGGATAGTAGCTGTCATGATGGTGCAGATGAGAAGGGCTGCTCCTCTTCTTTACCGCTCTGCAACAAAATGCATGGGCAGTGCAGATACACTGCGTAGCCACGCCCATCACTAGGTCTTATTTTCGGGGTAGGGCTTATATTGGGCAAATGCTTAGAAATCCTGCTAGCGCTTATTTTATCAGTAGGTCTTATTTTCAGGGAAACATGGTAGATAAGAAGATAGAAGCATTCATTTAGATATAGACCTGGTATGTTGTCTTGGGAGAGCTGTCTACTTCTGATGTTGTCTTTTTCTCATTGACTGCCATTGACTTAAGTATAAGATCACTCTCCAGTGAAACAGTCCATTCAGGAGCTCAATCTTCTTCAGATGATAAATGCGGATCCACGAGTCTGTACCTTCTAACTTTGCAGTGCAAGGTTTGTAAGAAGTACCTGATAGAGACCTTTCCACTTCCATTGAAGGGAATCCTTTAGAAGATGTCATTTCCAATGGACAAAATCTCTTGCTGAAGTCTACAGGTTTTAAGTTCATTGTTTCCCAGGAGGTCACACTAAAAATAATGTTTTACCAAATTGCAATTTTTAGTTAGTTATTCATAAGGTCATTACAGTAATGTAATATATCTCCTTTCAGCATTATGGGTTAATAATTTTTCAGGGATAGTTTCATAGGTTTACCTGTAATTATCTCAATTGGTGTTAACTGACGTCTACCAACAGGGGTGGATCTTAGGTTAAGCAAAACCAATGGAAGAGCATGTGGCCAAGCAATTTTAAAAGTCTTGGTTAATTTTGCCAACTGAGTTTTGATTATTCCATTTGTGTGTTTTACTAACCTAGATGAGGGCGATATGCACAATGAAAATGCTGAAGAATTGGCCAGATCTTACATATTGATCAAATAATGTGTCTAGTGAAATGAATACCTCTGTCACTATGAGTTTCTAGATAGAGTCTACAAGTCAAAATAATTTTTTCCAGGAGAATTGTACTTACCTCTAAGGGCTGTTCTTCTCCATGGAAATGCTTCTACCCAATGAAAAAACATACAAACCATCACTAGAACATATTTGTATCCTTGTGATGGGAGTAGCTTAATAAAATCTAATTGCCATACCCTGAAGGGAGCCTTGAGTAAAGGAAAATGCCCTTGAGAACCACGTAAAGGTTTCCCTGGATTATATTTTGGGCAGATATAACAGCAGTGTGTACCTTATGAGCTATAGCTGGAGGTGGTTTCCAATAATACTGTTTTCCCCAAACAACTATTTTATCAGGTCTCCAGTGAGTCAAATCATGTACATAGGTTAAAAATGATGACTGTAATTCAGTAGGAAATACAGGAAAGTCATTTGCCCATACTACATTTCATTCTTGGGGGAGTATGTTCCCCCTTTTGTTTTCTAATTTTCTTGTTCTGTTTTTGGAGCTGTCAATTGAGCTAATTTTATGTTAAATTCAGGGCCTTCTTTAAAAAGTAATGAAGACAGTGAGGGGCTATCACATCACTTTATCTTTGGTTACTTTTACTAGCAGGGGTAGGGGGCACGCTGTTATTGCTGTCACACAAGGTGATAGTCTTCTAGCTATTGGATCCAATTGGTGACTATAGTATCCTTATAGGTCTATTTCGATCCCTATGTTTTTGGGTCAGAATGCCTACGTCATTTCCTTGATTTTTATGTACGAATAGTATAAACAGAATATTATAATTTGAATGTCCTAAGGCCTTGACATCTATGAAATCCCTTTTAATTACTTCTAATGTTAACTAATTTTCCTCTGTCCATTCCAGAGGGTCTCGTTTGTCTTGTTTTACAGGAGCATATAAAAACTGAGGTTTTAAAGAAAAATTGGGAATCCAATTTCTGCAGTGTCCTGCTAGCCTCAGAAATCCTCTTAGTTATTTCTTACTTTGGGGGTTGAAAAAGCCAATATCCCTTTTTTCCTATCCAGATTAATGGAAAGGCCTTTCTGTCATATTAGGCGACCTAAATATTTTACTTGTTTTTGACAAAACTGAAGGTTTTTTATGAGACTTTGTGTTCTTTAAAGTCAATAGTTGCAACAAGTGAATTCCATCTCTTACAGAGGCTTGTTTATCTTCTGAACAGAAAGTAAAGCATCCATGTATTGTATTAAAGTGGATTGTCTTTTTGAAATTTGATGTTGCAGAGATCTGTTTGCAATACTGGTGAGAAATAAGTTGGACTCTCAGTATATCCTGAGGCATGATCATCCTGTGTTATTGGCTCCACCCAAGTGAAGGTCAAGAACGAACTGTTTTATCAACAGGAATGCTAAAGAAAGCATGACATATATCTGTTCCAGTAAAGAATTCACCTTCAGCTGGGATGGCAGTCAACAACATATGGGGGCATGGCTCTATTGGATGTCAAGGAATGACTATGTTATTCTCTCAGATCCTATACAAATCCCCATCCTCTACTGTCTGGCTCTCTCACCAGGAGAATGGAAGTGTTATGTGGACTTGTACAGGGAAGAATCAAGCCCCCACCCCCCTTTTTTTGAGACAGAGTCTCACTCTGTTGCCTGGGCTAGAGTGCCATGGCATCAGCATAGCTCACAGCAACCTCAGACTTCTGGGCTCAAGCAATCCTTCTGCCTCAGCCTCCCGAGTAGCTGGGACTACAGGCATGTGCCACCATGCCCTGCTAATTTTTTCTATATATTTTTAGTTGTCCAGCTAATTTCTTTCTATTTTTAGTAGAGACGGGGTCTCACTCTTGCTCAGGTTGGTCTCGAACTCCTGAGCTCAAACGATTCACCGGCCTCAGCCTCCCAGAGCGCTAGGATTACAGGCATGAGCCACCGTGCCCAGCCAAGCCTCTTTTTATATAATCTAAAATTATAAACTTATTTCTTCCAAAGGCTCAGATCTTAGGGGGTATTGCTTAAGGTTTAGAAGAGGCTTTGATGGGTCTATTTGAATTTCAGTGAGCAGCCAAGATAATTTTTCCAATATCAGTAGAGAACTTTGACCATAATTGATCAGATACTGCTTTTAGAAGTTCCTGTAATTCTTCATTACTCAATAATTCAGTATCCTCTCTGGCAATGTGAAGGGCAATTTGTAAATTAGAAGGATCAAGTTTTAAATTTTTTGTATCTAACATTTTTAAAAATTCTTCATCTAATGTTTTAAATTTTTCCATATCTTCTGTTTCTAAATATATTTCCCCCTTTTGGGAAAAGGAAGTGTGGGTATTGTATAATCCTAAAAAAGTCTCTCCCTATCAGATGAATGGAACCAAGAGGAAAACGTGATTCGTGATTCCCTCGTAGGGGACATAGTAGAAAAGCCACAGGCTGAGTCGTATATGCGATGCAGGAGGATTGGTGACATCTACCATTTGAGTTGTTTACTCTGAGGAATAGCACCTTGTAATAAGGTGGGAATTATTTCAGATAATGTAACTCCAGTATGAACAAGAGTTTGTGTGTGTTCTCCATTTAATATAATTTCTATTTTTCCCAGAGTGTTAGTTAAAAAAAAAAAAAAAAGAAAGAAAAGGAAAGCAGGAAAATAAAGATCCCTTTATGTTCCTCACAGCATTCTTTTTCTTTTTCCTTTGTTGCTGTTCCTTTCATTTTGGTTTTCCATAATCTTTTCTAAAGTGGCCAGGTTTCTTGCAGTAATTGCAAAGCAGGGTAGGTCTGTTTTGAGGTTTATAGGGGCATTTTGGGGGCCCAGATTGGGTAGACAGTTGATATAACTGTAAACTCATAACTTTATCAGTCCTACTCTTGCCTTTGGCATCTCTCTCTCTCTTCTTCAGTTAACAACTGATCAGCAAGCTGGACCGAATTAAGAGTTTGAGAAGGAGCCCAACTAGGGCATTGTGTTTTTATTATTAGGACTAACTCCTTGTCTAACTTGTTTACGAAATTGGAATTGAGGAGAGTATCCTTTTGATGATTAGCATAACTATCTTCAGATAATCCTAAATATTATATAAAGATATTTTCAAGTCTCTCAAAAGATGACATTACTGACTCCTCTGGATTTTGTTGCCATCGTTGTATTTTATTTCAGCAACTATATTTGAAAGACTAAATGTTGATATCAAATAAAGCTTTAGCAACATCATGAGCGTGTCTGTGGTCAGCCTCTGAGAAGGTGTAAGTATTCCAAGGGGTTTCTCCAATTTGCCTTAGCTATACAATCTTTAGCTTCCTTTCTTGATACTAACGTGTGAACTAGTTTATATAAATCACAAAAACCAGAATCATAAACTTGAATATTCAGTTCAAGTTCACTGGCAAAACCAAGAGGGCCCTGGTGAAGATCAGGAAATTCTTTAATTATGCCTTCAGGTTATTCCTTTGGCCATGGTTGATAAACCAAGGCAGAGTCTCCTCTACCAGACACCAACTGCTCAGGGGATGGAGCCAGAACAGCAGGATTAGGAGCAAGAGGAAGAAGAGAAGGTAGATCTAGTCGAGGGAGTTCAGATAATGAAGGTAAAAGAGAAGGAGGAGCTAATGGAAGAGAAGGAGAAATTTCAGGAACCTTTTTAAATTCAGAAATTGTTTTAGACTATCTTTTGTTTTCTTCCTGTAAAGAATGAACTTTATCAGAGCCTCTTTTGAAAGCTTCCAAATACCAATGAAAATAACTTTCCCAATTATTCTATTTAATTTTAGAGATGGCTTTTTCTACTTAAACTTGCAAGCAAACTAGTTTAGACATTTCAAAGGTATTCTATTTTGGCCATTGTAATTTGGGGTCACCGTGTGTTTTGCATGACCAACTTTCTAAATATTTAAGTGAAAAGACACCAAAAATTTTAGACATAAATCCAGCTAGAGCTTCTAATGATGGGTCTCTCTTCAAGGAGGAAGGTTGATTTTAGATTCATGGTTGCCCATAATTTAGTGCTTTCTTTTCTGGATGACCAAACAATTTAGAGAAAGATGTTGTAGATCAAGTGTGCTGCTTGTAGGAATGACTCCTCATTTTGAGGATGGCCACCTGGGGGGAATACAACTCAAGGTGTTACCCTTGAGTTGCTTCTTCTTTCTTATGTGTCTCAGTGATCCCAAGGAACTTGGGCACTTAAAGCAATAGATGATCAATCCTTAATGTGCATCCACCAGATCAAGTGAGGTTTCTTTTATATTTTTCTGAAAGGATTCCCTGTGAGACCATTGCCATCATGAGCAATTGACTTTAACATTTCCACTAGGCTTAGGTGCCTAAGGTAACTTTCTGCAAGGAGGAGCAAGTGTCTCTTGTCTTCAGGACTTATTTCATCCTCATAAAAAGCCTGTTATAATTTTGGTCACTCAAAAAGAAAGTTTGGATTTGTCAATTGAACTGAGTTTCATGACCTGGCTGGTTTTAAAGATTGTGAAATTTTTGCATAAGCCACAAAAATTCACTTTGTATTTTCAAAGAGAATCTGTCCTTCTTCTTACCAAAATTTCAAACAAGAAAAAGTTGTAAAAATTATAAGGAATAATTAAAGACAAAAACCTTAACCTTAGAGAAAAATGAAAGTCAAAAATCTGCAATTAGCAGAATCTCTAGAGAATCACAAACAAAACTCCTACCTTGCAGCAAAGCTACAATTCCAACCCCATCAAGGTAGGAATGTATAGCTCTAATAAAGTCTGAGTCCTCGACAAAATTGAGAGGATTTGAACCTGAGAGGGGCCTTACCAGGGATCTCTGTTAACTATAAGTGAGGGCAGATGAACAAAAATCATCCGTACTCGTACCAAGGCTCCAGCTCTTGGCGAAGTGATGGGCATCACTATGGGTCTACTTCAAGTCCCTTCATGATCATCAAAATGGCAATCTTAAATTGAGATGCAGGCAATATGAAAAAATGTTGAGTTTATTTGGGTGCTAAGTTTGAGAATGGCCACCTGGGAGGACACAGACTCCAAAAAGATGGAGTCAGTTTTCTAGGGTAGAGAGATTTGAGGGTAATTTACATAGACAAGGTCTAGGGAAGCTTAACAGGACTTCCTCATTTTCCATACAAAATTAATGCATAGTTATAACAATTTGGTGACAGACAGGGTTTATTTTGGGGAAGGAATTTAACATTCCACATTAAGTATGCAATAGTCAAGGGGTCTTTTATCTCAGGTGCCATCTGGTGTGAGCTGGGAACAAGAAATTAAGGAAGGAAGTTCATCTAAAATGAAAGGTCAGTAATTAAGAGGTCATGCTCCATGACTCAGTCTCCAAAGTCAACATTCCTCAGGGCCTAACAACTTTTAGAAGCCCCAAAGGACAGACTATCCATTTTCTTTCTCAACAGTAATAAATTAATCTTTCATGGAAATTCATTGTATGATTTAGTTTAGTACAGTAGACAACAGTCTCCATTTGCTAAACTCTCATTTCCTACAAAAAGGGAAAATTCATTGCCATTCTGGTAAATGTTAAGGGATTTTAAGCCTATAAAGGGAAATGTGATGGTTTCCCAGAAGACATGAGTGCCAAAAATGAGAAAGTTTATACTTTAAAAACTATCTACAGGATATTTCAAATCACCCTCAAAGTAGTCATCATAGGGGGAAAAAATCAGAGTTTTGTTGAACTTTGTTGTACTATTAATAGTTCTATAGTGGCCAAGCCTGGTGGCTCATGCCTGTAATCCTAGCACTCTGGGAGGCCAAGGTGGGCAGATTGCTCGAGGTCGGGAGTTCCAAACCAGCCTGAGCAAGAGCAAGACCCCGTCTCTACTATAAATAGAAATAAATTAATTGGCCAACTAATATACATAGAAAAAATTACCCGGGCATGATGGCACATGCCTGTAGTCCTAGCTACTAGGGAGGCTGAGGCAGCAGGATTGCCTGAGCCCAGGAGTTTGAGGTTGCTGTGAGCTAGGCTGACACCACGGCACTCACTCTAGCCTGGACAACAAGGCAAGACTCTGTCTCAAAAAACAACAACAAAAAATAGTTGTATGGTGTAATATTATATTTATTTTGAATTATGTATTATGGGGAGTGGGATATATTGAAGGGGGTCCAATAATTTTGCCAGAGGTTGGTAAAGGTCTTAATATGACCATACTTTGAGTCTTCATCAAATAGGTAATTCCAAAGCTACTTAATATGCTTAAAATAACAATTTTGCTTATGCAAGAAAAAGATGCTTAAAACATAGATGGACTATGGAAACAGCAAAGGGGGGCATTCAGACGGGTTGGCTGGGGCAGGGGCTGTATGTGAGAGAGGAAAAGGGACTCAAGGCAGTGGGGCACAGAAGAACGGATGTTCTGCAGACCAAATGCTGAGAATCTTGGTCTCAATCACCATGTGTCGGAATGAAGAACTGCACTATGGCCCCAATAATTCATTTTTGATTATTATTAAGAACTGATTGGGGTAGAACTGTTTTAGAAATGAATTTTTAAAAGAAATGGATAAAATCATGAAAGAATAAAATTATAAAAGAGATCATCACAGGACCATGATTATTTCCAAAATATGGACTGCTAATGGAAGTCCTATGACCAGGCTCTGCTTCTGTGGCCTCTTTCTCTGAAATGTTTTCCACCAACACACAGCTGTTGAGTGCTTTAAAAGTGAAAACTAGAGTCTCTCAGTTAATGTAAGTGTTTGAAATGTAAGAATGTCAACATTTTTTAGTGTTTATTATATATTGAGATCCTTCTAGATGCTTTATATTAATTCTTTTAATGTTGAAAGTATAAAGTAGATACTATTTATTGTCCCATTGTAGAAACATGGACATTGAGGCACAGAAAGTAAAAGTAATGTGCTCAAAGACACACAGTCGGGAAGAGGCAGAGCCATTAATTGGATCCAAAATGTCTGGATCCAGAATCCACTCCCTTAACCACACACCTATTCCTACCTTTCAGTGAGTATAAGACATGCAGAGTTTTTGACAATCATGATAACATTCCTTAGGTTTTCTGAGCCATCCTGTTTTCAAGCATTTAGCTCATTGCAGCTACATAAATTTTGATATTTCAGACATTTTTGGCCACATACAACTAATGTTTGTAAATGTATATAGAAGTTCCAAACACCAAATATACAATTTCAGATGTCCCGTTAAAGCTAGTTTGGATTATTTACCTTTATATAACTAAAATGTCTAGAATCAACATCTATGTATTAATACCTTAGTCTCATCACCATCTTTAAAGTGAGGATGTTGGACTCGGCACACTTCCAGTGTCAAGAGTACGTTTTACATCTGTCAATTGCATCCCGATTTGGTCTCATTTTTGCTGAAGTAGCAGGTAATCAGCCTTCCAGGAAATGATTGTGAAAATCCATTCATATACTCTAAGGACCAGCATAGCACATTCCTAGAGGTAATTGTGTCTGCTCAAATCAATGAGTCATTGGCCATTTGTAACTCTCCACGGGTTAATTACCAGCACCATTATTGAGATTGTAACATGTTTTGTTTATGCTTAGAGAAATGTTTTTGTGGTTTCACCCTTAATTTGGCAGCCACTGATATTAATTTAGACCATACATTATACACATTGGTCTTTCACGAATGCTATTTCCCATAGGCAACCTGATTATCCTACCCACAGAAACAGCGAAGCACCTAGCTTGTAAAATAGCAGATGAACAATACTCTGTGAATAAGCGTTATGTACTAAATGGAGCATGAGGTTCATCGTGCACCCTATCACAGTCAAGAGGACTTGCAACACAGAGAGGAAATAAGTCACTTAAATAAACTGGAAGAGATAAAAGAAGAGTTCAAAATCACTCAGCCAGTTAAAACCAATTTAATACGTTTGCCGAAGGTAGGACCTTTCTGCTTGGAGTACTCTGGTAGATTAATCATCCAGAGGGTAGGCAAAAAGAAAGGAAATGACATCCACGGGTATCTAACAGTGGCAGATATTGTGCAGAGTCCTAGCACAATCATACAATAATAGTAACAAACATTTCTTGTATATGCAAAATTCTAACTGCTCTCCATGTCTTAACTAATTTAATTCTCACATCAACCCCAAGGAATTAATACACCTTTTATCCCTGTTTTTATTGCTTTTAATTTTATGTAAGAGGGAGCCAGCATTGTCCTTATTTTTCAGATAAGGACACTGCATTTCAGAGTTTTTTATTTAGCCATGTCTTCTTAGCTAATAAATGACGATACAGAATTCACACTCATCTGTTTGACCTCAAAGTTGCGTTTTTCCTCGCCTCACCAAGAATCCTGGTACTTTTGAGAAGCTCTGTATTTTATCATATATCTGAGACTTCTCAGGTTGGAAGAGACATCAGTGATTCCAATCCTACTGCTTTTTACTCCATAGAAACCATTGGTTTATTCCAATGACTAAGGTTAAGGTCAAATGGTTAGCTCGTCTGAAACCTAAGTCCTTGACTTCTTGGCCTAAATTACCTACTTTACTTCTGCAGTTACTAGTCAATAGAATGCATATACTTCTACAACAATGATTTTTAAGTTGTATGCATCAGAGAGCTCACCTGTGGAGGTTACATAAATTGCCTTTGCACTGCCCAAGTCAGAGCTATAAGCAAGCCCATCTCCCAGACTGCACCCATCTCACCCGTTAGGTGTGAGTTTATCCATCCCCTCTTCCACACTCCCACCTGCCTGACAACAGACAGATGTTACTTCCATATGTGGGCATAAGTTTTGATCGATTGGTACCAATTTTATGGTGAGTACATGTGGTACTTATTTTTCCATTCTTGTGATACTTCACTTAAAAGAATGGGCTCCAGCTCTATCCAGGATAATACAAGAGGTATTAGTCCTCGGTAGGTTTGCAAAAACACAGATTCCCCGACACCACCATAGACCTACTAAAATCCAAGTTACTTACAAGTCAACAAATGTGTGATTCGGATGTGACTCTAACTTCACCCACTATTAATATAATGACTTGCTCTAAGCTCCCAGAAACCAAATTTTAAGGCAACTTATTGCTGTCAGAATTACTAGGGGCTGCACTTCAAGCCATACTGGGACTCCAGTGGAATAGGCAAGTGGAGAAGGAAAGAAGCCAGATTGAAAACTCTCGCTCTGTCTCAGCAGGAGAGTCTGCTGTGGAGCTGGCCCTTAGGTCGAGTGGCCTGAAGCCTGTGAGGCAAGGTAAGCCAGGGAGGGCGAATTCAGCTGACTCTTTAGGTGGTGAGATGCTTGGAGTTAAGTAGGAGAAAACATTTCAGTTCTGCACAGTCTGAGTTAGAATAGGTCTTTAGCCAGAGACAGCGAACAAAGGAAGAGAGGTCATACTCTGAGAAAAGGAAAGAAGGATAGTTAGCAGGGCTTTAGTCACATAACTGAGGGGTTGGGGAAGGTTATCAACCCCATGGGAAGTTTTTATACCAATAAGGACAATCCTAAAGCTCGTTATTCTTTTCTTCATTTAAGTAGCCATTTCTTCATTTAAGTATCCATTTCTTCATTTAAGTAGCCACTGAGGAAATAGATGAGTCAAAATGGAACATTATTCAGCCAGCACACACAGACACTTGTGTGACAAATGTGGTCTATGGGATATGTTTTGGGAGAATTTACTCAATTTCCCATTCATGAAACCAGCATTATACTGCGATTAGGCCCTCGGTGCTTCCTTTCATCTATTTGAAGGATATACCAGACTAGGTAGAACGTTATCCTTTATTTCCCTTATTTAACATCTTACGTACCTGTGCCAGAGTCCACGTGCATTTAAATTTAGACTGAAAATATAGGGGGATGACAAGAGCAAGAAGAAGCAAAGAGTATGCTACTCAGTTGGTGACCTTGTTGTTTTCCAAGGACAATTTAGTTTCACAAAGTTTATGACGTGCTTCTCACAAAAGTCTATGGGATCTCACATTATAAATCTTGTAAATTAGTTGTACTATCCACTAACCATTCTTTTTGGTGGCTAGCCTGTGTGCCTCATTAAATTTTAGGAATTCTTTACCTCTTTTCTGATTGGACCTAGCAAGCCAGAAGTAGCAACTTTTCTAGACACATTTATAAGACCCTTGTAAGTAAGAGGGTAGGAAACAAATCTCCAACAAATGTAGGGGATTGCCCTGTTAATGAAATTTCTAGGGGTCCAGTGGTGTGGAGCACATTGAGATAGCCTTTCTAACATAAAAAGTAATTTGTTGCATCTGAATCTCAAAGATATCGGGCTCTATTCCCTAAAACCTGTGACTGTTACCTTAGAGGGTCATGTTTTTTTTTTTTTGCAAATGTAACTAAGTCAAAGATCTTGAGACGAGGTGATTATCCTGAATTACTGGTGTGGATCCTGTCTGCCATCACCACCACGTGTTATAATAGGCAGAAGAAGATTCGACAAACACACACAGAGGAGGCAATATGAAGATGCAGGAAGATATCAGAGTGATGTGGCCACGAGCTGAGAAATATCTGCAGTCAGCAAAGGCTGGAAGAAGCAAAAAATGAATTCTCCTCTAAAGAGTAAGGGGCGAGGCCCTACCAACACCTTGATTTTGGTCTTTCAGCCTCCAAAACTGTGAGAGAATAAATTTCTGTTTTCTGATGCCACCACATGTGTGATAATTTGGATAGCAGCCACAGACAACTAATACCGGTTTTACTGGATTAGTAATTGAAAATACCAGTAATCAGCATCTCCCTTTCCCAGTGCCTCTTGTAGTGAGGACACAAGTATGTGCAGGTCACATGCATCCTGGAACTGGAGCCAGGTATTTCTGATACAAAACTCTGGGACCGAAAATATCCTTTCTGTAGCAGAAATGCGGATCACAATAAGGAAGATTTTTCTGGAGCAGCGGTGCCAGGTCAGTGCTGTGGAGTGGATTTCTGGCTGCACAGCCTTCATCTAAGCCTGGGTCACCTGACATTCCTGACCTTTCTGTATTCTACTGGTGTCCTCTCAAAAGGATTTAATTAAGTTCTGACTACTAGATGGCCTTGCCATTAGTGTGGGTACTTTCCTAAAACTTTGCTTCCCTCTCTCTTCTTCTCTGCTCTCTCGATACATAGATATAGACATCAACATAAATATATAGGCATAGATATAGATATATAGGCATAGATATAGGGAAATGTATAGACATGCATATAAATTTGGTTCTCCCACCTTTGAAAAGGAGATATGAAAGGCATACCAAATATGTTTTTGTGAGTAAATGCATCAAAAAGTCTCCCTGCCACCCCGCCCCAATCTTTACCTTCCTGCCTGTCCTTATTTTTACTTCTGGGAAGGCTTCATGCACTTCCATGTGCTGCCTTTGTACCTTCTACGTAGCCTATTTCAGTACTTATCACACAGTGTCTGTTCAATAGATAATTGATTGTATCAAGCAATATTCTGAAAAGTAAAATTGATTAACTCAAGCCTTGCTGACAGTTGCTTTCAATCATGAACTAAAGTGATTCGATTTATCTCAAAACCACCACAGTTTTGAGTATATTGGTTGCATCCATTAAATTGATCATGAAAGACTTTCCATGAAAGTCTTTTCATTCCACGCTATATTCTGTATGCCTGTTTTTATAAGGCTTAACTTGAAATAAAGCTGTATTGAAGTGCTTTAAAAATACCATTTCATGAGTAATATGTCTGAGACAGAATTTCTGAATCTATTTGCAAAGCTGCCATCAATCTGTCACCTCAAAATATTTTCACTAGCTGTTCCCACATTTACCAATGTTATTGCCGTAGAACTGACACCATGATTTTGCGGAATGAATGAATGCTGATAAGCTCATGATAATGATGCTTATCAGAATCCTGAAGATGTGTTGGGGAGAGAGGAAAGCTAAAAGCATCAGCATGAGAATGAGTGGTTCTCATTAAGTCCTCCAAATTGGGTCCCATTGAGAACACAGTGCAGCCATGGATATGGCAGAATAAAAAGCTTGCAAGGAGATGAGACAGGGAAAACACTGAGAGGCTCAGAAGTCAAGAAAGAAGCCAGGCTTCTGCACAAAAGGGTAGAAAGCAAGGATGAGAATGGCAGTTTCTAATTATTTTATCTCCCTCACTGAACCTGCTACACGTGAGTTTTCTCAAAAAGTAGAACAAGGGAACAACAAACAGAAAAAGTAGCTTATAATACACAATCGTTTTATATTGACCATGTTAGAGTTCTTTGTTACAAGCAAAAGAAATCTACTCCAATTGATTGAAGCACAAATGAAATTTATTAAAAAGACAATGGGTAGTTCCCAGAATAGCAACAAGGCTGGAGAATGATGCTGGGAGGCTACCCAGCCACACACTAAACGTCCCCAGATCAATGTTATAGGCCCTAAAAATTAGCCCCTGGCCAGTGGACACCATTATGAACACTTCTGCCACTTCTGCTCTGCACACTTTATTTACTTCAACTGTCATCTCTATCAGAGAGTGAATCCCTTACAGCCTTTGCCTCTGGTATCCTTAGTGCCCAAGTTAAAGTCAAGAGCAGATGTGTTAGATGCTGGGCAGCAAAAAATAATGAGAAATGACTACCGAAACCAAACACACGAATTGATGGGATACACTGGAACTTTTTTAAAACAATGCATATAGTTAAAAATTAATTCTTAAGAACTCATTTGAGAAATATAAAGCCAGAACGAGCCCTGTCCTCTTCCCTCAGATATTCTAACTTTCATTGAACATTATCATTCTCCATAAGGGTGATGACTCAAAGTTCCATTACGTTAGGCCATCCATTCCAATTCAGGATCCTTGGGTCATCTGCTGCCCTCTCCATAAGGGACCCAGATGTGACTTCTCCTGGGTCCAATGATCTACATACTCAAAGCTATTTGCTTCCCATCCAGCACTAGTATGCACACAATTACTGCGGGCCATGTTGAGGCAGAAAATGATAACCACATGGAGAGTCTAATTTGGGAAATGGAAGAATGAGAAACACACAGCATTCATTAGTTCATAGCAATGATCAAATCCTAGAAAGCGGGAATCACAAGTACTTTCTTTCCTGCCAGTGAAATAAGTCCTGCAGAGTTGCCCTACTCTTAGAAAGTAACTCCTTTGTTCTTTGTTTTTCATGGTCCCTGGCTTTGCTATCTGAGAGGTTCATCCTCATCCACTGTTCTCCAGTCCACATTTGAAATAGGTAGTTAGAGAACATTCTTGGGGGATGCTTAAACAATCAAGAACTTTTGTAGGATAGGTCTATAGTTTCTTTGATAATATCATTCCCTAAACATCTTAGGCTTCTGGGCTGTTTTCTTACAGTCAGTTTCATGTGCTGATTCTTCTGGAAGATTATTATCCCTGATTATTATTTTGATTCCTTGATCAATCTATACCTTGCTCCTTTTTTAATAGGCAGTTCTCTTAAAGCCATCTGCAGCAATAGACATGAATGGGAACATAAGAGTCTTATCCTAATATTCTTCAAACAGACCTACATTCCTTTGTCTGGTTTAATAGGAAGTCTTTGGAAAATGCTCCAGACAACAATTTATGTCTAGATGTTTGCCGTGACTGCTGAGTCTCCATGTTTCTGGACTCTCCTCATTTTATTTCATCTTATAAACTATTGAGTCCTTCAGATCTTGCAGATTTCTTATCTATTATTTAATCTATACCTGCTAAATGCAGTAAGTAAGTACCAAACACATACTAATATTCTGACTTTTTCTAACTGCCTTTTCTAGGCATACAGGAATTTTTGGCATATGATCTTCTTTTCATCTTATCATAGGTTATGATTTTGCCAAATATTTTATCATGTCATAGGATCATTATCTTTTCAACCTGTATTTTTACCACTTGTTGACTGTTAATCAAGCCAATATTATATATTCTAGGGTAGCACTCCACTTCTGGTAGCTATTATTATGTTAGGGCAAGGATAGGCAGAAGTTACAAAGAGCTTCCACAATACACTAGCTTAAATGGAAAAGAAGTTTATTTTTCCCATAATTAATAGTTTCAATATAAATGATTATGCTAACTTCTGCTTTTTCATTTATGAAATTCAAGTCCTTCTGAAATTATTACTCCATCATATATTGAGCATTACTGCCATCTGCAATTCTGGGTCATTGCCCACATTCAAATTTCAATGGATAGGCAAGGGAAAGAGAATATTGAGATGACATGCTACTCATGTCAATACTACACAGACATAGAAATG